GGGGGGCGGCCCGGGCCCGCCGCCGCTGCCGCGCGCGCACCGCGGAATTTTAGAAGCCGCCGCCGCGCGGGACACGGCGTTGACAGGCGCTCGGCGAAGCGCCTAAGGGCGCCACGCGGGCACCAAGGCCCTCCCGCGGGGCCTTCCTGGCATGAGCGCTTCCTGATGACGTCAAGATCGGGGCGGGGCCACGGAGCAAAGAGGAGAGGCGGGGCTTAGTCGCTTGACGGCCCCGCCCCCTCCCTCCCGTGCCCCGCCCACCGCGGAGCCCTCGCGAGAGCAGCGCCGYGGCGCGAAGTCTCGCGATACTTCGGCGCGTGCGTGTTGGCGCCGCCGTGAGGCGTCAACGGTCGCTCGTTGCTGAGGGAGCCGGGCGGTGCCTGAGGCGGCCGCGGGGCCGGAGAGCCCTTGGGCGAGAGGGGCCCGGCATGAAGAAGCCCCGTCCCCTCTTCAGATACCTGTGTTCCTGCAGAGCGAGCAGGCAGAAACTGCTACAAAATTCAAGACCGGTTTTACTGAGACAAGAATGTTTATTATGAGTAGATACAATGAGAGYGGGTACAAGCAGGTGAGAACCAACTTTTACCTCACAAATTCACATGGATGAGTTATCGTCCTGCTGCGTTACAGAYCTGAATCTCATTTTATTTTGTTTACGGAGCGGGGGGTAGGTGTGGAGGTTAAGGATTTTGCTTATGCAGCTAGCTATGATGTCATTAAAAAGCCGCCTGCAGATTAGAAAAGTAACAATATTTTCTTTAAAAAAGCACATTCTTAGATACAGATGCAGTAATAGTATTTGATTGCATAAGACTGTAATTGGTATTTAAAGGGTTAAAGCCAAGTAAGGTTTTAAGCAAAAACTCCCTCAGGAAACATTGCTTTATCAGGTAAACATGGAGTTATGTGTTCTCCAGGTAACTTTTGTGTGTTTTAAGAGGAGGGTTCCTTGTGTTGTATCTCATGAAGCTGCATAGGTCAAATGTATGGCGAAGCTACTGCCTCTTAGGAGTTTTTCTGTGGGACTTTGATTGTCACCTAGAAAAAGAAAAATGCCATAAGTTAGATTCACTGGAGACAGGGCTCAGCGTTACCCACGTGGGAGCAGAGAAGTGGCGGCGTCACAGGGGAGGACCAGACCTGTCCCCGCTGTAAGGGCTGTTCCCTGCAGCTGGTGCCTTCCAGCACGTGCTCCTTGGGGAGCAATCCACAAAATGAAGCCACCAAGGACCAACGCACTTGAATGCTTTACACTAAGAAACAGCTACACTGATCACCCAAGGAGAGCACCAAGTGGTGCAGGCAACTGGTAGTTAAAGCGTTAAGCTCCTAGGTAAGTTTGGCTTTGTYTGGCAGCACAGCAGACTGTTGGGAAATAGTCAGATGGAAAGCGACTCACGTTTTTCACCTCCAGGTATGCATCCAGACCGTATTCTCCCAGCTCTCGCCCATTTCCTGATGTCTTGTAGCCACCAAATGGGGCTTGTGCGCCAAACACGTTATAACAATTTATCCTGGAAAGGACACAAAGTTTCMGTGATGGAGGGATCTCCGCAAATGAACATCTCAGCTGTTTACAGCRGAGAGGCTACTGAATTCCCAGGCTGGATTTCCACCTCTGTTAGATCTCTAAGGCAACTCTAATGAGTTAATTGGAAATATTGGACCCTGAGTCAGGACAAAAAAAAAAACATTTCCTGATGGTCCATTGGGAAACAAAAGATGATAAAACTGATTTTTTAATCAGTTAATTTTAAAGGTGAGATTTTTTCAGTTTTTTTTTTTTAAGGTGAGATTCAGATCTCCAAAACTGTCACTAAAATTCAAGGCGTGACATAATATTCAGTGAAGTAGGCGTAAAACTAGGTGGGAAGAAAAGAGAAGCTATCAAAGAGAAAGCCTGAAAGAGAAATGCCAGCAGGGAGGGGAGCTGCGGCCGCTGTGAGCGGAGGTGTCAGGGCTTACCACACAGTGCCGGCGCGCAGAGCCTGCGACACGTAGTTGGCTTTGTCGAGATCTTTTGTGAAGACTGCTGCTGCTAGACCGTACTTGGAGTCATTTGCTCGCTCAATCACTTCCTCGATAGTTTTAAACTTCAGGATCTGCATGACTGGCCCAAATATCTAAAAAATAGAAACAGAACACATGAAAATCTCTGTACATGGATCACAGGACAGGCCGTGGTTGATGCTGGGGTTGCACGTGTACATTGTAAGTTACACAAGAGATCAAATTGCAAGTATCAGTGTGGTCACTTCCAGTATTACAAAGCAGCCAAGATACAGCCTGGAGTGCAGCTTGCAGTGGTCACCTTGCAAGAAGCGTTGAATTCCTGTTTCCCCTTGCAGCTCATTAAGGTCTTGTACTTTGCAGACCAATTTCTTTTTGCATGAAATGGGGCAAAATGGCCAAGAAGTGGGAAGCTCATGGATGGAAAGGTGCTGCAGGACCCACCTCCTCCCTGGCAATCGTCATGTTGTCCTGCACGTCTCCAAAGACGGTCGGCTGGATGAAGTAGCCTCTGTCTGCAGCCGGGTTGCCACCACACAGCAGTTTGGCTCCTTCACGCTTCCCAGTGCTAATGTAGCCAAGGATCTTCTTAAACTGCTCCTCATCTACCTGGAAGCCATTAAGACAAACAAAAGCTCTGCCAGCTCCTCTGGATTGGGGCTATTTTGTGAACTATCAGGTGAAGAGGTTTCCTGCTCTCACCTGAGGTCCCTGCTCGGTTTTGAAGTCAAACGGATTGCCCACCACCCTGGCCTTGGCTCTCTCCACACTCCTCTCCACAAACTCTTGGTAAATATCCTCCTGGACATACGTTCTGGATCCAGCACAGCAGCACTGCCCTTGGTTGAAGAAGAGGGCAAAATGGGCCTGCTCCACAGCCCAGCCCACTGAGGTTGGGGAGARAAAAGAAAACAAATAAATGATCATAGCAAAATCAACCAGGGAGTCAAAAGGCTGCTTCTTTTGAACAATTCTCGTGCCAAATACTGGAACACTTGTGATACAAAGTCCTTTCAGCTGACATCCACTTTCAGTGCTTTGGGGTGGCCCAAATTAAGTACAAAGATCCGTATGAACACCCTGCATTACAGAAGAAAACAGATCTGAGCTGAGGCAGATTACAGTTTCCATTAAAAATTATCGGGTATTAAGGACATGTTTTTTTTGGACCTAGTAGAGTTTCCTTCCTTCTGCCTTTTAAAAGGTGTCTCGCTTTAGCTGCATTTTAAAATGTATCTCCCAAAAGTGTGTTTAACTAAGAGCAAGAAAAAAATAAACAGAAAAAAGACTGAAAGAAAATACCAAAACAATCCCTATTTGTGGGTAACTGAACTGCACTAATGGGAAAGAAGTGGGAGTGGAGCAGCCTCGACACACAAACGCAGCAGCTGCAGTGGGAGGCACCGGCGCTTTCCTGGGCGAGGAGAGCCGGGTGGTGCCAGAGCTGGAGGCTTATGTGACAGAAATGTTTCCCCTYGAGCTCCGCCTGCAGAAGGCCCAAGTTGAGAGGTACAGATCAAATGTGAAGCTAGCAGGTGCTTACTGTCAGCATCGGACAGGACGATATTTGGACTCTTTCCTCCAAGCTCCAGTGTCACCCTCTTCAGGTTACTTTCTGCTGCGGCCTTCTTGATCAGGTGCCCAACCTGCCCCGGGAGAAGAACATGTTTTAGGAGCTAAACTCCCGAGAACTGCAACAACAGGCGGAGGGGTTGGTTTAAGATCTCAGCCAGCAGTGTAAGGAYAATCTCTTCACTGCCCGGGCATCAAGAAACAACTGAAGTCTGCCCAGAGATTCACTTACAGTAAGGAGCAGCTCAAAGAAAGCAGAAGTGCTCTAAAGAAAGCACCTGAGAAGAGTCTTAAGTAAAAATAAATGTCACACCTTGAAGCCAGGTGTAGTTTTTAAGGGAAGTTGTAGAAGGCAAGGCATTACAGTGACATATTCCCTACAACCCCGCGAATTGAAGGTTAAGGCAGTCCCTTACCTCTGTGGAGCCAGTGAAGGCCACTTTGTCAACGTCCATGTGGGAAGAGATGGCAGCCCCTGCCGTAGGCCCGTAGCCGGGAATGATGTTAACCACGCCGGGTGGGAATCCCGCCTGCCAGTTCGCAGGGGACACAGCAGCGTTACTCGTCTCACAAATCAAAGGTTGTGCCTGCCCTGCCCTGGCAGCAATGCTTCCAAATGCTAAGAAGAGCAGAGCCTGCTCCACCTCATTTCATTGCCCAGGTCCTCAGCTTTACTGTTTAGTTTGCAAGGACTAAATTTCTTCCCCACTACCTTAAATTTAGCTTGGAGCTACACGTTTGCTTTCCCCTCACTCTGAAGCACAGCTGTCCTCTAGGTAGAGGACAGGCTAGTTGTGTCACGGAGCATCACAGAGTCCTTCCCTCAGYCCGAGTGACACCCTCTGACACGTGGAAAGAAAAGGGAGCGTTGAGCTAAACCACATGCGGGGACACACAAGACACCTGGGCCTTTCTTCGGATCGGAGAAGCCTTSTCCTCTCACGAGGTGAGAAGCAGCTCTTTGCTCACCTCTTTGACCAGGCTAGCGACATAGAGAGCGCTCAGGGGTGTTTGCTCCGCCACTTTCATCACAACCACATTCCCAGTCGCCAGGGCAGGCCCAAGTTTCCAAGCTTGCATCAACAGCGGGAAGTTCCACTATAAAACAAGAACRTATTTGCTGGTCTGAACTTGCACATTTTCAGTTTATCGGTAAATAAACAGTGAGCTTCACTCCAGTCTGCTGCAGCACCTATGGAACCAGGCTTTGATCCTTCCCTAGCTGTCCTGCAACTTGTTCAGTTCCCCTTAAGCACTTTAAGYCTTCTATTCATCCAGGAAAGCTGTAAACTGAAGGCTGAGGTTTCTCAATAACACCTCAAAAAAAGAACTTTTCTGGAATTTCCTTTCACTGTCAGTTTAGCCGTTAAATGCTGTTCTGCTCTTTTGAGCAGTTTTGAAAGCAAGTCTGTTTACYGTGACTGAGCTCAAAGAGGTGTCAATTCCAAAGCCAGGCATTTACATTCAGTTCTTACTTAATGCAAATACAAAAACATGCAAAAACAGAACGCAGCTACTCCTATAAGCAGGTCATACTATCTGTGGATCATTGCATAATGTGGCCTTGTTGTTACCAAACCACCTCACTAAGCTTTTTACCTTCACGGAAATAAGATCAGGCACAAACAATTGAGTTTTGCATGCTAGTTTTTCATTTCCTCATCATGCTAAGTTTTGCTTTTAATGATAAATGCTCACTTAAGTAGTAATTTAAAGTTTAACTATTATTTCTGCTAATAATTTGGTCACCAAGCTGTAGGATTGAAGGTGCTAATGGTAGCAGGATAACTCTACAAATATTTTTTAATTCTACTTTCCCGCACAAAAAGACAAACACAAAAAAGACCCTCACAGATAGCCCACAAAATCAACAAGCTAGTTCTGTGCTGCTGGAGCAAAGTGAGAGTTCTTAACTTGCTTTCCCACTGGAARGAAACAGTACTCAGCCTTGGATAATATCTTGCATTTTAAGATAGCCCTTTATGGCAACACTGAATTCCTGAAATACTTGCAGGAACTACAGATACATTTTACTCACTGGGATTATCTGTCCACAGACTCCCACTGGCTCGTGTCTTGTGTAACAGAAGAAATCTCCATCTAAAGGGATAGTTTTTCCATGGAATTTATCAGACCAGCCTGCAAAATATCTGGCAATGGTAACATTTTAGTCACTGAATTTAGAATAATGAGTCTCCTACTATAAGAAAACGAGAGAGATTTCCTCCAGCTATTTCCTTCCCTCACTTTTTTTAGTTACTTATAAAAATACACACTCGGACAAATGTTTCCCAAGCAGATGATTTTAACAACAGACAGTRAATACAGACATTTGTCTCCTGCACTCGGCCGTGCCTCACATAACACACATTCTGCTGTGATGTGACATAGGTCACTGCCATTTGTATATGCTCTGTGTATAGTGGGAGAAAAACCCCCACAGTAGAGAGCGGGMAGGAGCATCCTGTGAAATGAATGGAAGTTTCAGATCACTCCTACCCAACCCAACCACAAAGTGGGTCCAGTCAGACCACAGTGTGACCTGCTCTGTTTCGTATGATCTTTTAACATCTCTTAGGGACCTCCARGCAGAGACTTGAGCCTCGTCAATGTCTCTCAGTGATGTGTTCAGCCCCAGGAAGATCCGTTCCGGAGCCCCCATGAAGGACCTTGGTAGCACAGCTGGAACCYGTCATGAGCCGCTGGCTCGGTGCCTACCTGAGACATTTCACCACCATGGGCAGATCCACCAAGTAGGCAATAGAGTATGGTTTGCCGTTATCCAGAGTCTCCAGCGCCTACAAAAGACAGAGAAACTGCCTGGAGAGAAGGTGGGGAAAGTCGCACACAGGTTTAGGTGCAACGTTGGTTTGATCTTTGGGTCTGATCTGCCTATTTGTGCTAACCTTCAGCTTCCCCAAAATATTTCCCCATCCCTTGCAGCCCTCTGAAGAAGGGCTCTGATGCACAGATGCTCTGCTCCTTCCCAGGGTGCAGGCTACGAGCCYTAGGTCCCTAATGACAACAAGAGGAAGTTTGCAAACTGAACCAAACTCGTAGTGAATGATGGCACTGGCTGGGCCTGTTCTCCAGGCTGGAAGACTTGCTTTAATCCAACGACATGCTCAGAGTTAGAATTGCAGGCAATTTAGGTTGGAAGGGACTGGAGGTCTTAATTGGTGCAGCCTCCTGCTGAAGCAGATTTCAAAGGCAGACCCGGTTGCTCGAGGCCTCACACCATCGACTTGTGCACATCTCCAGTGCTTTCACACCCCGAGGGCCCGTGAGAGCCTGCACAAGATCTCCCTCCCCACTACAAGCAGCCTTGACGCGAGGGCACTGGTGTTCCCTGCTGCACGCCTCATCTTGCACAGCCTCCACGCCCGTACGCCGTTCCCGGGAGCCCCAAACCCCGCGCGGGGCCAGCCCGCCGCCGGTGTGCGACACGCACGGCCAGGTACGCGCGGTCCCGCTCAATGAGGTCGGCGAGGTGGTGGAGCAGCCTCCCCCGCTGCGAAGCGTCCATCCTTCTCCAGGGCGAGCCCAGCTGGAAGGCCGCCCTGGCTGCCTGCACGGCCTTGTCCACATCGGCCTGTGGAGGAATCCAGACAAGGAGGGTGAGCAAAGAGCAGCCAAGCGGCCGCACACGAGGAGCCGGCCGCAGCAGAGAGGACCCTGAGCGCGGGGGCCGGCCTGGCTGGCCAGGGGCAGCGGGAGCAAGCGATGGATCCCTCCGGCTCCCGACCAGCAGGAACAGGGCAACCCACAAATGCGGCCAGCATCACCACGCTTTTGGCCACTTGGCGTTTGCCAAAGAGGCCAGCAGGCAGACAAACCCAAAAGCTGGGAGTTGTCAATAATGCCACAGATTAAAAATATTCAAAAAGCCCTGACAAAAGACGGATGAAGCCCTCCCTGGCCTTTGGAAGGCCTGTCCGCTGGCCCCGCCGCTGGAATCTCTCCCAGGGAATCCCTGGGAAGAGGCGGCTGAGGGTGCGGTGACCAGGCGGGTGCTGCAGCCACCGCGGCTACTCACACTGTGCTATTTCAGCTACATGCAGTGCAAACATCGTCGAGTTATTTCCGCAATGCCAGCTACTGGGTTAATATTTGTACTCCAGAACGAGGCAAATCAAAAGCTGCAGAGGTTGTTTTGATACTGGTTTCACCAGGAGATAGTCAAAATGTTTTTGTGTTTTTTTCACTTGATCAAATATCCCTAACCCATTATTTTGCTCTGCTGTGGCATTAACTTGTGTCTAGTGGGTTCACTGTTCTGGCTGATTGTAATGGCTCCCAACAGAACAAACCAGTCTCCCATGGCCAAACACACAGCTACAGATTCCCTTCTCTCTCCACTCCACTGGGGAATAGGGACAAGTTTCCAGACACCAGCAGGAAACCAAAACTGCTGGGAAAAACCCTCAGCTCTGCCACAGATCCCTAGAGAGCCTTGAATAAGATCCAGGGAAAATCTGATTCCCACTTTCCCTCCCTCTTCTTTTCACTACAGACTCTAATCTCRCCAAGTCAACATTTACCTTGTCGCCTTCAGCCACCTGGCAGATGACTTCTCCTGTTGCWGGATTGACAGAAGGGAAGGTTTTCTTGCTGATGGCATCGTGCCACTCATTATTAATAAAAATCTGGAATACAAAAAGCAAAGCAGYGTTAAGACTCTGAGCCGAGCCCGGGCAGAATCACTAAGGACTTTATTTGCTTGCTGGCATCTTCACAGGTTGCTTAACTAGGGGATGTTTTAGTCTGGAAGCGCRCGACCAGCAACAAAGTCAGCGAGTAATAAAATGAAACCTCAGCTCGGCAAACAGCAAGGGAGCTGGAAGTAGTTCCCATTTCAGAGGTTCTTCCCAGATGGGAACATGTCTASCTGGAGCTGCACAGGGATGCCAGGATGCTCAGGAGAGTCAAGGGCATAAAAATGCTTCATAACACGGTCGGTTTGATATCTGGTATTGGAACTTTTGCAGCACTTCTCTTACCAGCTGATTTTACACAATATACACAATTTTTACTCAATTTTTACACAATTTTACCGTTACATTGTGCCGGGATAGAACCAGAGGCCAGGCACTAGCTTTCCACCCCTGGCTTCCCTTCTCCACCCGAGTGAACTTCTCCACGTCAGGCCCACGAGAGGCCAGCGGCGTCAGATCGCGGTGCTCGCCGAGGACCAGCGCGCTCGAGCCGCTCGCGGGGGCAGGGGGGCTCGGAGGTCTGCGAGGGCAGCTCCAGCCTCCCCAGTGCACCACGCGGGGCAGCCCTGCACCAGGCAGCCACCCAACGCCTGCAGATAACAGAGCCGGGCAGAGCAGGTTCCCTCTGCCCCACAGCCCCCTCAGCTTCTGCTCTTTGTTCGCTCGCGCCGACGGCAGCGCTTGGGCAATGTCCAGTACTGAGCCGATGCCACCAGCCTCTGCCCAGCCTGCCTGSTGCACCCGGAATCGTTTTCCTGGAGGGAAGCACGGGGCTTTGGGCCAAAGCGCGCCCGGAGGCCCTGCAGCAGCTGGGGCCTCGCAGCCCTTGTCCCTTGGCTGCCTCCAACCCCTCAGGCTCAAGGCTCCAGCAGAGCTCCAGCTGCGAGCAAGTAAGCGAGCAAGGAATCGAGCAAGGGAGCAAACAAGCGAAGACAGCAAACAAGCGAGCAAGGGGGCAAGCAAGGAAGCAAACAAGCAAGCAAGGGTGCAAGCAAGTGGGCAAGCAAGGAGGCAAACAAGCGAGCAAGGGAGCGGGCCGCGGCCCTCCCAACCTTGGTGCAGGAGATCTCAGGCTGCGGGTTGGGCGCGGGGATGGCGGCGGCGGCGGCCGAGAGCGGCGCGCGGAGCCGGGCCGGGCCGCGGCAGAGCCGGGCCGCGCTGCACACCGCTGCCCGCAACATGCTGCGCTGTGGCCGCTGCTCCGGGCTCTGCGACGGCTCCTCCCCGCGGGGCGGTRCGCGCCACGGCGCCCGGCCCTGCTCCCACCAGCTCCCTTTGGCTCAGCTGCACTCGGCGTGGTTCAATTCAGAGCAAAGGAGCTCGGCCCGCTTGCTTTGGCGCGGCCACACTCGCTTCGGCACCGCCCTGCTCCCTTGCTTTGGCTCAGCACAGCTTGGTACGACTGGGCTCAGCACCAGACAGGCTCAGGACTGCCCTGGCACAGGGATCAGGGCCGAGGTGTGAGCGGCGTCCAGGGCCTGCTCGGAATAACGGTGCTGGGATAAACCTGCTGGCAGCTGCCACGGGGCTCCCTGAGCAGGGACGCACACATCGTGTCATCACCGAGGGAATAAAGGCAGAGGGAGACCAGAAACATCTCTGTTCTTCAGTCAATTTACTGTTAACTACATTAACTGCACAGGGAAAGCATGACAACTTAGTTGGTTTACACGCCGAGCAGTGCTGGGATCCCTGGCCACTCAAATGTGCTGCTGTTATTGTGCACACGGAGTCCGAACAAGGAACTTGTGTGTGGGGAGGAGCAGGGAGGCCGGCAGGGCCTGAGCAGCAGCACTCTCCTCGGCGCCTGCAAATTCCGGCCTTTGCAAAACCCTCCCAGCAGAGGCCAAAGGCCTTTTCTGCTTGCTGGCTCACGATGCCTTGCACAATCCAGCATGTCTAACACGTGACAACAAACAGGGTGTATTTTAAAGCTATCGTTGTCATCGCCAAGGAAACCACAGCCCAAAAGGACTAAAAGAATGTGTAACATCAGAATAAGCGCGTGGTGGTTTCCTGCTGACAGCATTTCTGCGACTCCTGTAGGGCAGCTGCTGAGGGCTCCGTGAGAGGTTGTGTGGCTGGCTCTGATTTAAGTGGCCTKAAGAATTGTACATTCTTTTCAATTCAAAAATAGTTTAATCCACTGTCCTGAAAGCCCTCGGAGCCTTGGTRGTAACATGCAACTCCAGCACCTGCAGGGTCTTCAGGCATTTAATTCAGGAGAAAAATAACTGCCCAGTTTTGCAGGCATAAAATCCGGCGAGATGAAGCTGTTGCCCAAGGTTATCCAACAGGGCTCAGCTTAGGCCGCACGGTTCTGGATCAGCTGCAAAGAAATCGTCTTATACTGGGATCTGAGCATCCCTCAGCCACTCGTATCTCCTGCAGAGATTCCTGATGAGATTCCCAGTCGTGCGCCAGGCAGAGAGCCCTGCCCTGTGGCCCTTTAYGAGGTGGCTGCTGTGAGAACCGCTTGTCCCAACATGTTCTCTCCCCACTTCCAGACCTGTACGTGTTAAAGCACTTTGGGATTAGACTGGAAAGACCTGCTGGGTTTGTAGCCATGAGGAGATGCTCCCTGAGAGCTGTGGTTGCTCTCACTTGGGGCAAGCTCCCATGCTCTGGCCTTCACGCGTTTCCTGATGAATCTCAGGTGGACAAGTGGTGACCCAGGGCATGAGCCCTGTGCTGCCGCCTCTGCTGCTCCTGAGCAGAGCYCATCCCTTCCCCGGAGCTGAACAGACCAACTCAGCAAATTAAAACCCCACGCAAGAGAACAAACACTCTCCCGGCACACCCAGCTGCCAGGCTCAGGCTCTGGGCCCTGCCTGCCCGAAAGAGGAGACGCTGGGGACGCAAAGCCAGCTTCGGATGCCAGGAAAGCACCTGGGCTGCACATGCTGGCAGAGGCTGCCCCCCTCCCACAGCACGGCCAAATGCCTGGGATGGGGGTGAATTTCACCCTGGATCCCTTGATAAACCATCGGCGCAGGTCAGGTCTGCGGCTTCCCTCCCACTCTTGGGTTGCTCTGTCTCCGCATTGAGTTCCCAGTATGGCCACCCCGGGGCACCCGAAAGAGCAGGACCCAGCGCCTACCACAGCCACTGAGGGATCTTAGCTGGAGGAACCGGCGCCAGCTCCGGGGCTGTGACACAAGTCACTGCTGGGACCTGTCAGAGGGCCAGGCCAGGACGGCTACTGGGTGGTCAAGGAAGCTGCGAGCTGTGTATCCCACTGGCCGGACAGACATGGTGCTTCCAATGGAGCAAAAGGGACATAAGATACTGAAGACTTGAACTTGTCAATATCAAGCAAGCTTAAGGAAGCGGGTCCCTCATTTTAATATAGTGTTAAAACAGATTACACATAAAGAGCCCACGTAAAGAGGAATTAGCATGCCCAAGTCTCTGTAAAGCACTGCAAGCCTCTGATGATCTGGTCCACATTGTCCCTGGTCCCCAACGAAACCCAGAGATATTCACTGCAGTCACAGGACATGGGAATCTTCCAAGTTCCTCCCAGCTCCAGGGCCCCAGGCACGACCTCAGGTTCATGAGCCCTGCATGTTCTGATCCGACTCCTGGTGCCGCTCACGGCAGCWTTTCCAGCCCTGCAGGTTGCTGGAGGCGTCGTGCTGAGCAAAAAGAGATATCCTGCTTCCTTCTCCTTACCACAGAAATCAAGATGTGCATCCTTGTCTGGTCACTCCTGACCTGCTCTCCCCCTCGCAAGGCTGCTGTTGAATGACTGCCCTTGAATGGGATGGATTTTGCCCCACCGTTAATGGGCCTGGCAATAATGGCTCTGGAACCAGATGGCAGCAGCACCATTGAAATTCAGGGGCGTCMCAGCTGCACAAGCTCTGCCGCGGCGCCGGGGCCAGCAGCTCAGCTGCCTCCAGTGAGACGTGGGGACCTCCCGGGTCAGCGCCGCTCTGTTCCTCAGACCTGCATGAGAATAAGATCAGAAACCATTACTTGGAAACCAAGTGAGCAGGCGGCAGCCAGCCCTGGCCGAACAGCAGGAACGGCACTGCCAGGTTCCATAGAGCTGCTCTTTCCCCTCGTTTTCTGCCTTCTCAGGGCATCAGCTGCTAAGTAGCCCAGAATACAGATTCCTGCTGGTTTCTGCCTGAGCACAAGGAAATGCTTCTTAAAGACTGAATAACTGATGAGGCAGCTAAGAGAGAGTTAAATACCATGCTGGAATTTGATAATGTCACTAGAATATGCTAATAATACCACCATGGCAGCAACCACCCTGAGCTGCCAGCACCCCGAGCTGCACCCTGCCAGGGACAAATTGGAATCACTCAGGCCTGCAACATCTGCAAGGGGAGCCAGGTGTCCCAATACCTGCCTAGTGGCCCAACTTGCCTTGCATTGGTAGAAAGAAGAGCTGCATAATTAAAATGCTACAATTGAAGGGACTGGTGCTACTCCCATCTTTGCCAGTGCCCCGACAAGTGACCAGGCAGGTCACTTTGCAAGGAGGGTTCGAGGGTTCTGCGTCATCACCACCTCACCAGGAACAGCCAGGGCCCTTTTGCTTCAGCGATTCAGGCTGGAGCCTGAAGCAGCAGGAGCTGCTCTGTGCACAGGATGAGCCAAAGACGACGGCAGGRCCAAAGTCCAAGAGACAACCCAGCACCTCAAGGCCTGATCACGCTCTTATCACTGGGCAGGACACTGTTTGCAGCTGGGTGTCTGCAGGGAGAGCAAGATAAGAGAATAAAAGGGAGGAAATGAAGCTGTGTGGTAGTGAGCAGTGCCCTGCACAGCTGAGGAGCCTCCCAAGGCAGCACAGCAAGAGCCTGGCAACGCTCCCATCTGGAGCAAGGAGAATGGATGCAGTTTCCCACAGGGAGAGCAGTGATGCTGCAGAATCCTGCCAGGAGAAGGGAGCGACCAAGAACTGGACTGCCAGGCGCTAAAAGACCAAGCCCAGCCAGGCTCTGGGGACTCCATCAACTCCRGTGGCAGCATGAGTTGACCCTGCCCCTTGGTAGGTAAGGATCAGTGGTTACAGCTCACCTGGCATTAGTCTGTTCTTCTTGGAAGGGAGTCCTGGCCTCAGAAATTGCGGCTGCCCTTAACACAAACTCTGCCACCTAAATGTTGCCAGCAAAGGAATCTTTCCCCCTTGCTCCTAGGTGTAGGGCTCTCTGAGCAAGTGTGATGTGGTCAGGAATGCAAAGAGCACCTAGAAACATGCCCAGAGCCCCTACCCCTCTGCAGGTYGAACAAAGTAAGGTTACTTTGAGGAGGAAAGTGACTCACCTTAGGTTTTTCAAGAAGAAAATGTGGAGTCCAACTGTGCCGGGAAATCTGGTGACCCCACTGGATATCTATGACACTTTCCAGTTGCCTCCAAAAAGCCAACAAGAGGAACAAGCAGAGGAATTTTGAGTGCATGAGCTGCCCCAGGATGTGCTTGGGTAACATAACTTCTGCTGAAGAACAGCCCAAGCCTGGCCTGTGTACTGTAAGGTCTTGTGAAAGGCTTCGTGGTGGGGAGGCGGTTGAACACACGGMATCCTTCTTTTATGGCAAAATCCCAAGCCAGGTCAGCGACGAACTCTGCATGCTCCTGGAAGCTCTCCCCTGGGGCTGGCCTTGCATGGCCTGGTGACAAGAGAAGAACTGTCACTTCTGCAGTTATACAGTCACATCCCAAACACCCACATGTGCCCTAGCCAAAGCCAGCCCTGCAGGACCCAAAGACTCCTCTCTAAGGAACAGGAAAAACAGCACTGTTCCCTGAGCAAAGCTCCCAGGTGTATGGAGAAAAACTCCACTGAGACGGCCCAGCAACGCCCTGCGACTGTCCCTGCTAAAGCAGAGTCTGAAGGCTCAGAGCTCCACCTGTAGGACACGACTCTGAGCTCTGGCCTCTGCTCAATTCCCCCATSAAAGAAAAGCAACAATGCAAGAACTTCCGATAAAGGCAAAAAGCCACCTGCAGCTTGCAACCAGCAAAGAGCAAAGATATGGGGAAGTGCCCAGTTTGTGCTCCCTTTGGGCCCTTCCTTGTGTTCGCAGGACACGACGTGACTGCACAGCACRGTCTGCCTGAGAAGCCAGCAGTGTCACCCGTCCCGGGGCCTGCGCGGGGCTGCCCGGCTTCCTCACCCCTCAGAGAGCGCTTGTGCAGTCCCTGCAGCCTCACGGCCAGGCGGAAGAAGGCAAAGGCCATGTAGAAATTCCAGTTCTCGGGGTGCTGCATTCCCATGCGGTCCCAGTACATCTGGGAATACTCCTCTGCCGTGGGGATTCCCAGGCGCGCCGGATCACGCTCCCGCAAGCCTGGAAGATGCAAAGGGGCAACAGTGGGTGAGCAGACAGCGGGGCTCGGGGCACAGCCGTGCAGGCGGGTTAGTAGGCAGGTTCTATATTCTAAGCGTGGGCTGATCTGATGCGTTTGCACCCACCAGGGACCAGCCCCAAAGCTCTGGACTGCTCAGAATAAAACAAACGTGAGAGGCTGCTCGGCAGGCAGCGCGGGCARGGGGCCCTGGCAGGGCTCGCCAGCGCCGAGGCTCTCACCCGTGCAGGAAACCTGTGGCTGCAATAATTCTCCTGATGTTTACCCCTAGATTTTTCCTTTTAGTAACATACAGATTCCTGGGCAAAATTGTTCTGGTCTGGCTTAGTCCACAGCTCGTTCCTCCACCCAAAGGAGATCTGGTTATTGTCATTCCTCTGGAAAAGAGGTTCGCTAGTTTTACAGCTCAAGTGAGAGAAAAAATAATGAAAATTAATTTTTAAACACAGATTTGCAAGCTGTGAACCAGGGCCCTCCTCCTTGGGGCCAGCCCTGGCACCACTGTTAACAAAGGTCCTTGTTCATGTACAGGGTGACAGAACCAGCTGGGAGAGGGAGCACTTGGCCAGCTCCACAGCCACAATGTTTTCTCATCAAACGGATGGCAGAACCCAGGCAAACTGGGGACAGGGGGACCATGGTACAGCAGTCACGTCACATACAGGAAGATGCCTCTGCCCTGGAGGGATGGAGGGGAAGAGTAAAAAGGGCAGAGTGGGAAATATGGTATTTTCAAAAGCAGTGAGCCCAACTATCAGCTGAGCTCTGGGCAGGGGCCAGTCTGTTTCTGAGCTCTTGATTCCTCTCTCCGCTTGTCAAATGTGACTTCACCCCTCTCTGTACCTCTCAGTGTACCAAAGTGAGGTGGCAGGAAGTAGGCCATGCAGTTATTTGCCACATCAGAGATGGGATCTCCTAGAGTTGAAAGCCTCCAGCCAAGAACAGCAAGGACTTCTGGCCTCTCTGGATGAAAAATCAGGTTATCCAGCCTGTATCAGAGGGAAAAGAGGTCAGAAAAGTTCCGAAAGGGGGTATAAATGCCAGCACTCAGCAGCAGCAGGTGCCTTCYGAGGCCCTTTGCTCTATGCAAAAAACTGCTTTGAAAGTGAAACATTAATTCCTGCAAGCGTAGGTCAGGAAGGACTGAGATTACTCAATAGAGAACTCCTTGGTTAATAATGAACTTTACTTTGAAGAATGAAATAAGATGATTTAGAGCCTCAGATCATTAACAGACGTTGAAGGACAGCCTAGCCAGAAAGCAATGCAGACAAGTCCCTGCCAAGGAGGATTTGCTGGTCATTTTAAAGCAAGCAGTAACTGAAAGCCCTGCACTGGTGTGTGCTGTAGATCCTGTTCAGTACAGCCTTCACTGGCAGAGTGACTCCCAGGAGAGGGCAGCAGCCTAGTGAGGAGAAAAAAGAGGGAACAACATCCCTGCCAGGGAGCAGAGAGCTCACTGGCTTCCAGGCGCATGGAAACTGCACCTACCACAGCATGTGCAAGGGAGCCCAGGCCCAGAACTGGCAAAACCTCCTTCAAGGAAGAAAACTCCCCTTGCTGCGGTAGCTCTGAGCACTCCTGCAGACTTTCAGTTCTTGCCCATCACGTCCCACTCTAAAAATGGGCACCGGTTGAAGCTGCAGCAGATCAATAAACAAATGAACACAGGGGAAACATGGGAGCTCTGGGTGCAAGACAGCACCTGCCAGAGCTCTTGCGAGCTCATGAAGGACACGAAGGGCTCCTGGCACTCCTTCACCTGCTTGCTCRGGACATGCTGAATCTGACCCAAAACATGGATTTTATGCTCTGAGGTTGCCGGGCCAGCCCAGCTCAGCACCTTTTTAGGTTGTGCACGTTGCTTTATCCCCTGTCCCCCTCTCCACTCTCTGTCCAGGGAGGCCGCCAGCCAAGCAGTACCTGAAGTCACCGTGCACCACTGCTGTCTTCTGGGATTCAGGGAAGTGCAGAGGCAGCCACGTGATGAGTCTCTCCATGGCTGGGATAGCCTGCGTTTCCATAGCTCGATACTGCTTTGTCCAGGTCTGAACTTGCTGCTGAATGTAACTACCTGCAACAAGGGAATGGAGCCTCTCAGGAAGAGGGACAGGCACAAGAAAAGCTTTGAAACAGACACATAAAAGCTGCAGGCAGAAACAAACAGCCAAGCAGGTCTCTGCCCAGCACCCTGAGACAAGCTCCAAGGATGTAATGATTATTTCCAGGGGTTTCACACATTCATAACTAAGCTCTGGATTTGATATTCTAATGCAAATAATGCAACCCTGGGTGAATATGCAACTTCTGCACCTACCAGCTCTCAGATAGCCCTGCAGAGATGGGACAAACTGAGGAAGTTTAGTCAGACACAGCAGCGAGTTACCCCTGAGCCCACAGTGCAGCTCTTGCCAAAGGAAGGAAACTCCGGGGACCACAAAACACCGACACGGAGGATCCCAAGCAGCTCTCCACACCCTCACAGCAGGCCGGGGGAGAGGACCCACCTTCCCTTCCCATCTGCCACCAAGCCCTGCCTCCCAACCTGTCCCTTGAAATGCTGATACCCAGGATGAGAAAGCAGCAACAGGGGATACGTAGCCTTCTCTCACCACGCTCCCCACTGTCCTGCAGCTCGGCTGCTCTGAGCTCTAYGCTGTGGATCTTGGAGAGGACCTCACTCATGGCTGCGTAAACAGCSCTCCGCTGGCGGGGCGACAGCCCGGGCAGGGCGGCGTCCCTGTGGAGGTGGCCGGCACAGTGCTCCGACACGTAGAAAGGAGAGCCGAGGATGCTGGGGAGGCAAGGGGGAAGCGGAATGTCCACGGGCATCCTGCTCTGCGGGAGCTCAGCGTGTCCGCGGGAGCTCAGCGTGTCCTCGGGCATCCTGCTCCATAGGAGCTCAGCGTGTCCTCGGGCATCCTGCTCCATAGGAGCTCAGCGTGTCCACGGGCATCCTGCTCCATACGAGCTCAGCGTGTCCATGGGCATCCTGCTCCGCAGGAGCTCGGGGCAGCTGCCGCCTCCGCCCAGGGCACATGCTGGTTTAGGCCACGGCACTTTCACGAGCCTGGTTTGGCAGACACAGCAGCTCCTGGGACAGACCCCAGCAGCTGTTTAACAGCACCGAGCGATGCTAAACCACAACTGAGTATGGAGGCCACCAGCACTGCAGGCAAAGGGAGGCAGGAAGGAAGGACAGGGCCAGGAGCACTCTGGAAACACTCTGCTTACATAAACAGTCCTAGGAGCTGCAAGTCACCAGGATCTCATGTCTTTAAACACAAACAGCCAGGCCAGGGATCCTTCCAGATCAAAGGCCCCCTTTGTATCACYGTGTCTTCACTGTGCTAGTCCACACCAACACCCCTCTTTGCCTGCTTGGGTTCTCACACCCGAACCAGGCTCCTCTTTTCCCCTTGCCTGTGCGGGGCTCTACCCAAGGTTATCACGCACAGGGTGCAAGCGGAGGGACAGGATTACCTTCTGTCCTCACAGAGAGCAAGTACAGTGGGCACAGGAACACCAGCCTCCGAGAGAGCCTTCAGCATCCTGCCAGGGCAAATGACAGAGCCACGTCAGCACAGAAGAGCATCAGGGAATCCATAGCAGAACTGCATTTTCACTAGGTAGATTGACAATATTAAAGATTCCTGTGGTCAGTGTTAAATACACTAAAATTACATGACTGGGGGAAAGCAACACACCAAAATCTTCATACAGCCCAGAACCCCAGGATCCATGCAACACGCTCCTTGGAAAGCCAAGGGGAGGGCACAAGAGCCATCCTGCTGCCACTGCAGGTGCCTGGCACAGCCCCCTACAAGGGGGCCAGCCCTCCGCTAGGCTCCCTTGCCACTCATTTGCAGYGGGAGCCCTGGCGCACGGGAGCTCATGTGTGGGAGGAGGAGTTGAGGGAGTCTGAACTACTGTGAGCCAAGGGGAACGAGGCAGAGGAGGGGCTGCGACCTGTAGCTGAGCATCCGTGTGAAACTCCCAAGCGGGAATGCGAGTGCCATCTTTGGAACCAGACCGAGAGGGAACAACCAACATGTTTACTTGGCAAAAAAAAAAAAAAAAAACTGCCAGGCTTTAGTTAACAGAGGAGACAACAGCAGTAAAGCCTCGCTGCGCCTGGCTGGGCACCAGTGCGGGACAAAGAGTGTCATTCTGGAATCACACACAATGCTCTTTAAATGCAACACRAGGAATGTGCCCCTATCTACCAGGCAGGACCAGCCATCGTTCCTCCAGGCGTCCTGAGCTTTCAGCTGGCAGCTCTTTAAAGGGCCACAGGGACTTCCAGAAGGATCCTGGCTCACCTGACATGCAGGGAGAACTGTGTTATGCCCATGGCCTGGGAGGATCCATGGTGTKGCAGGGAAAAAAAATCCTTCATGGAGCTTTAAGCACAGGGTCCCAGTGGTGTGTTCAGCCCCAGCTGCAGGGCAGCAGCATGAGGTTGTGGCACTGCAGTGTCCCTAGGACAGGGCCATTGGGGATCTCCTGCCGTAGGGTTCACCAGTCAGCCAGCACCAGGAACACGGCCAGGGCAGCTGCCTTCTCACCTGTACTCCTTGGTGAGAGCAGGGCCTGCGGGGAGCAGCTCGTCAGGGGGCTCCTTCTTCAGCACTAGCGAGCGATCGCCAAGCTTGACACAGTAGGTCAGGGGAGGCTCTTCGTGACCAAACTGCCGTAACATCAACGGACCTGAGCAGTTGTGAGCAAAAGGTAAGCAGCCAGAAGCAAGAGCTGGGATTATTTCTCACCACTTCTCCAGGTCTTGTTTCCCTTTCTGTGCTTGGGGCTGGAATCTCGTTTGCAGCAACCAGGAACCCACCCATTGCTTCTCTGCCCCAGATCCCGAGGGACCATGGCAGTAGCTCGCTGATGGCAGCAGGCCGGGCACATGCCTGGCATTTCTCTTTGGCAACTTTTGCTCAATCCCTCCCACATAGGAAAGTTGCTAAATGTTGCTTCCCAGTTCAACAATGAGAGATCACTGAATAATAATAGGCTGCAATGTTTTTTGGCAGGTGAGAGACCTTTTGGTATTGGTATTTTCAGTCTATCTGTCAGATGATGGAAAGAACCAAAGGGTAAAGGATGTGTGAGCTTTCAGGCTGAAGAAACCACTGCAATACCTGTTGCCCGGCCACCAAGGACATATTCAAGGTATTTTTGGAGACGACTTTTTGGTATCTCCGTGGTTGGTCTCACGGAACGAGTATATGGAACGAAGCCTTGCAAAGGAAAACCCAGATAGGCTTCCAGCTCTCTGAGAGCTACTGCTGTGTCAACAACCTGAAAGCAGGAGGGAGGGAGACTGGGTGAGAGGAGATAGCGAGGCCTGCACACGTGATACGTTTATCTGCGAGTCCAAAGGCACTGATCTGTGAAAACGCACAGGCAACACGGAGAACCTGTGCTTGCAGAGCCACCCTCCTTCGTCTCTCTCCAGTTCCAACGGCACAGGTACGTGCCGGTGCCTGGAGTAAGAGCTGGAATTCCCTGTGTGCACAGGAGCAGGGTTTGCTCTTCCCACTTCTCCTGTGCTTGCACTTTCCCTGCTGATCTCCTCACTTTAGTAAAAACCTATGTCCAAAGCTCGGGGTTATCCAGACCTGATATGACAGGTACGTGAAGCCTCAGAGCTTCTAGAAATTATTAAATACAGTCTCAGCCACACGGCTAGGGTTGCTTCTGTAATAGGGAACTGAGGTCTGTGAAGGAGAAATGACTTCTCCAAGATTACACTAGTTGCAGGTATGAGGCTGGGAATGAAACAGGCCGGTGCAGACTTCGCCAGCAGTGCTCCCCTTCAGCCCCACAACAGCCTGCAGAAATAACGACCGGCTAAAACAAACAGCCTGACAACACGGGGCTGCACTGCCATTCCCAGTCCCGAGCCACTCACGTCAAATACAGTTTCTGGACTTAGAAACCACACCTAAAGCCTGCCCTGATCGCATCGCTTTGTACCTTCACTGTTTTAATGCCAAGCTGCGCTGCTGCCTTTAGGTTCTGGCTGATGTCATCAAGGAAGATGGATTCGTGGGGCTGAACACGCAAGCGCTCCAAGCAGAGCTTGTAGATGCGAGGATCCGGCTCGGATATTCCCTCGCGGCAAGTTTCAACTATCTGTAGTGACAAACTGTGGTTTATGCATGAATCTACTGTGATCACAAACACCTGAGCAGCGCTGGAAACGGAGGACAGGAGGACGCGAGGCTGACAGGCAAAATAATGTGTGAAATAAAGGACACGGGAAGCGGAGGGCTGACAGAGCTGGATGAAATGGGCTCCAAGTGACTGTTTGGGTGCTGACTGCCTTGGCAGTCATTATTATACACTCAAGATCTTCTTGATCCAGATTTGGGCAGATAATTGCAGTTAAAATATGCAAAAAGATTAATCAATAATGATATAATGTTGACAAGGTGACTTTAAACAGTCCTGGATTTTCAATGAAATAAAAAAAAAAAGAGAGAAAAAGAGAGCTAGAGAGAGAAATGCAATCTGAGATCTGGCCAGGCTTACCACATCAAACTGCTTTCGGTCTAGAGGCAGAAAGCTCTCTTCATTCAGCAGACAGAAGCTGTTGCTTAGAACAGCTGTCTTAAGACCTTCGGCACGAATACACTGTACTGCTTCTGCCATTATGGGGAGCTGTTTTATCATCTCCTTTCTGATTAAGTGCAAGAGAAAGGAATCCACTGGAACTGAAACATTTGCCTAAGAAAAGAGAAATCCCAATAATGATAATTAGCTATAAAGGTTCTTTTTCTTTAAACAGTGAGAAAAAGGTGAGATGAGGACTGGCTGCGTAGATAGACTGCCTGATCACCTTATTTTGCTGTCTTACTTCCTTTGGCAGTGGACGGCAGCTAGAAAATCTCTTGGCTTAGACCAAGTAAAACGGAGTTCTCATGTTACTGGTTCTACAGAAAAGTAGTAAAGCTAAAGAGCTGATCTGGGGAAAGGGAAATGCATTAGAACTGTGCTTGTCATTGAATCAAGGCAGGGTGGAGTTAAAGACAACATTACTAGTCAGCAGACAAGAAAGGAACTTGCATTTTAAACTGAGCTGCTTCAGAAAGACTTTATGGGAAAGTCTTTTAATGGAAAAGAAGACTCTTGCATTGTGTTCAGGCAGGCGAAAGCRAAGGCAAATTCTGCTCATCATCCTGACTAGGGACCAGTGAAAAGTCTGCCCTGATCAATAGCAATAAATGTCCTAATGTCTAAGAAGCCTTTAGGAAACTGCAGACAGTAAATCTGGCCCTCTTCTTGCTCCATACACAAAGCACCAACAACTTCCACAGGACATTTTCCTTTAAAAGCTCCCTTTTCCCTGCTGAACCGTGACGTTCCCACATTGGGATCTCCCACGAGATCCCACTTCCCTGTAGYCAGGAAGCACAAAGAAAGGAGGTGGGAGTTGGCTTACAATGTCAAAGCACTGCTGTCCAAATTCCTGCAAAAACTCCACAGTCGACAGCTCTCCTCTGGTGTACTTCAGAGAGGGACTATTTTCCCCTCCAGCAAGTAGAGCTTGTTGGACGGTGCCAGCTGGAATACAATTCTGGACCTCCCAGTCTATATAGAGAAAAGGAAGAGAGCCAGGAGAGAGCACAAACAGCATCCTCAGAGCCGAGAAACTAGCCAGAAATCCCTCTGCAGCCCTGACATCTGATTCAGACAATGCAACACGGGATGTGCTGGGCTCAGGTCATTTATCCAGCTGCAGAGAGAAGTTCTGGCATTCCCCAAACCAAAGCACCTCATCCCCATTTTAGAGGGGGTGCCCTGAGGTGAAAACACCTTGTCCTTGAGGTGTCCCGAAGCACTGGGTGCCACTGCTAGGTGGTATCAGCTGGGGTTACTGCAGGATGGTTTAATCTTCCAGTGTATTCAGTGACTTGGGGACGTCACAAAATGATGACTGTCAGCGCTACCTCTGTGGGTCGTGCAATTGTGCTGGGAAGGAGGACCAGCCAAATCATCAAATTCTTGAACTGGAACCAGAGCTGAGCGCTAAAGAGACCTGAAATCTGCCCGGACRTGCACGAAGAGCGAGGCGGGATGAGGACACCAACCTGCGGCCACCTTGCGAGGGGCCGGCAGGAGCGCGGCGCTCACGTCGAAGATCACCGCTTTATAGGGACACGACACCCAGCRCCTGCCCGGCACYGACACCGGCACCGACACCGGGATGCGCATGGCTCGGGACAGGCACCGCAGGGACATGGCGCCGACGGGGAGAGGGCCCGCGGCCAAGGYGGGGAGGTAACGCGTGATCCCTGGAAGAGAAACGCGGTGTTTAGGGCTCCCGAGCACCACTGTGTGTGAGGGGGGCGAATAGGGACCAGCTGTGGGTGGGGGAGATGGGGGAAAAAGGAAGGGAAGATGAGGGGAAACAATGGGAAA